GAGAGAGCGGAGCTCATTACTCTGATGCAGCAACAAGCTGCTTGTTAAGGAACTATAATTTGGTGAAGGAACTGCGAACATTAAAACATATTAAACGCCGCGTTCACGGCCCAGTTTATTAATTTATTACTTTATTTATTTAACTATTGTATAAAAACAATAGAACACGAGAGGGAGTGTGTTATCTCTCCTTCGGCTCGTGCCTGCGACCAAATCACAGCCGTGATGTTATTTCGCACTCCCTCTCATGTTCTATTGCTTAATTAGAACATCAACAAAGCATGGAATTGGACCGGGGCGGCCAAACTTTTGCAAACAACTGTAATTAAAAACATTAAAAGACTATGTGGTCAAAACAGTTATGTAAACGGGTCCATCAGGCTCTGTTTCTCACATTAAGAGAGACAGCAGTTTAAAAAATTCATTATCATAATGCAAACCATGACGCCTCTATTCTCATCTCCGTCAAACAGAATCCCCATAGAAGGAACTGACCAACACATGATTATTGCCAGCAGTGGAATAAAGCTGAGCCTCAGAAACGTGTGGAAAATGCAGAAATCAGCTCTAGAGTAGATGTGATTCATCTGGGAGGAGAATCTGTCTGAGTTTGTGGCTGAGTGTGAAGAGCCTGAAGAACATGTGTAAGCTGTTTAGATGTTTTGAGTCTTCATGAACCAGTCAGTGTGTGTGCTTGAACTTACACAAAACCTGGAAGTTCACATTCTCCCGCTGCTTTGAGAACAGATGGGGCAAATCGTTGAACCTGCTCTACTATTCAAAGGTTTGGAATCACTTGCCATAATAACACATTTTGTTGTTTTATGTACAATAAAGACTCATACAGTTACTTTTGTATATAAAATAAATATTTTGGCTTCTTGAAAACAAGGTGAATTTAGAATGGTTTAATGATTAATTTAATTAGAATATTTCATGGTTTGAGAGTCCTTTGTTTCACTGGGAAATCAAAACACTGGAACATTTCTGGTGGAGTCCCACAGGGTTCAATCTTAGGGCCTTTGCTTTTCTGTTTGAACGTGTTACCACTAAGTAATGGCACTAGGATGCATGATATCAATTAGCATATATATGCGTAGCTACGCATTTCCATTCTTTATGAAAATCAAGATTGACAGGTTTACCAGATATTGTCATATTTCGTAGTGAATATTGCAAAAAAATCTCTGCAACTCAATCAAGAAAAACTGTAATTCAGAAAGATCCTTTGTAAGGATACTTTCACTTTATATACCAAACCTGAAGTATGAATCCTGGGTGTAATCTCAGACTCTGAGCTTTGTTTTATCCCACATGTAAACACAGTCACTAAAGTAGCTTTTTATCATTTGAGAAATATCACTAAAGCGCAGCCTTTTCTATCTCAGAGCAACGCAGCAAAACTTCTTAATGCATTTGTTACAGGCAAAGTTCATGCTCTGTTTACTGAGCTTCCTAAGAAAACAACACATCCTCTACAACTCGTACAAAACGCAGCAGCACGGATCCTAACAAAAACAGAACGGAGAGATCAGATCCCCCCATTTAGAAACTGCACTGGCTGCCTGTTTGTTTTAGGATAGATTGATAGATAGGTTGTTTCTAGAGCTCTAAATGGCTTTAAAGCCCCTGTGTACCTCACAGAATCTCTCTCTCTTGATTCCTCTCATGATTTTGGAATAAGAGTTTAATGTCCTATGTAAACATTGTTGAAGGTTCAAAATGTACCATTCAATTCCAGACCATACAGTCCATACAGGGAAGGGCACAACACACGTTAGAGAATCTTTGCGTGCAGTTACACATTTCTGCCAGAGAGGTCTCCAGATCCCTTAAACGAATATCGTGCAGCTTTAAAGTACTTAGGAAACTAGAAACACATCAAAATATTACTAAAAGCTACTCTAAGAACTAAAAACTAAAAAAATAACTCCTCCAGGAAGTAAGACTTGGGGATTTGGAGACCTCTTGGTGGAAAAGCGTAATAGCACAAGTAGTACCGAAGATAATTTTGTAACGTGGGTTGTGGTTCAGACCGCTTCCCAGAGCGGACGAATCTGATGATTGAAAGAGAATTCAAAGAGAACTAAACTTGGTGAAGGAGCGTCTTCAGAGGATGTGAGTGAATTAGCTACTATTGTCATCACATCTTCATCAGTATAGTGTTGATTTTGCATTTGAGCCGGACCTTCTTTCTGAGTCTGTGTGTGTGACATTAATATGTAAAGACGTACGACGTGGTGCGAAAAACTCCCAACCCGACATCTCTGTCTTTTATATGATTATTTGAGGTTTAACAGTGCGACTCACCATGTTTTAGCCTGTAATGATACTCCTTACAATTTCAACCAAAAAATCTTACATAGCTTTAGCTCCATCCTCCCTCCGGAGTGCAAGGTGGGATAGAGACAGAGGTAGAAAGTTAGAGAGTATGAAGGGAGACAGGGAGGTTTTGAGTCTTGTTTTTGCGCGTCAAGGCCGTGGAATCTGAACTGGCTAACCTTTCCCAGCAGCTGCTGCTGTTTGAACACTCTGCTCTGATCCAAAGATTACACAACCTAGAGGAACAGCTCCAGCACCACTGCCCACTGTAGTGGAGGGAGGGGGGCGATCACCCTCACCCTCCTTTCACTCTTTAAAGTTTGGCACAAAATTCCAGTTTACAGTTTCCTGTCCTTATACCGGATGTAGTTGATCAGCCAAGACAGGTTTGCTTCTTTAGTTTAGCGCTGGAGCTACGAGGCTAATGTGATTGAGGCTTATAGTTAGCAGTGAGTTAGCATCGTGCTAATAGCTTGCCTGAGTCATCACATACTTGTCTGAAAGCATGAGTTGTTAACCCTTTAAGGGCAATGCAAACGTGGTTATTTCAGCTGTTCTGCTCTTCTCCCTTAATATTGTGATTTCTCAGAAAATGCGTCGATTTTTATTTAGTCTTGCAAACTACAAGGTGTCCCAAAAAAATGGACATCATTTGAGATGTGAATATCTGAGTAACTACATGTCCTCAGCAAACGAAATTAAATAGGCTTCATGTTGAACAATACAAGATTTATTTATCAAAATTCGGACAAGAAATTCAGAGGGATGTAGATTTTATAACCGATTTCACAGCTTCACAGATGTAATATCTTCCGATACTGGTGGTCATCCAGACCCCTCTGCCCTGCACAGACAGCCTTCCTCTTTGAATTTTTGTGCAATGTCCAAATCTGCTGTCCAGTTGGTGCATTTTTATTGAATTTTCTCGAAAATGCACGCTGCCCACTCTTGTTTGACTGTGTTTGAGCATATTCTAACACACAAAATGCCTTTTCATTTCTAGTGAAGGCCATTCTTCAACCTGAAAAAACATTACAAATTAAACTTGGTTAGTTTTTACACATTTTGTTAAAATTTGAGATCATTTGAGGGAGAATTGGCTGTTATTAGACTATGAAATGATGTCAGTTTTTTTGGGACACCCTGTACATTTTTGTACAAGAAAACACGTTAATTTTTCCATGTTTATAGACAACAGTGAGTCATACAGTGTTAGAAACCACGTAAGCAAGTCTATTAGAGATACTGAACATCTCCACACAGTTTGTGGCAAATGGGTGATGTTTGTATTCACGCAGTTAGCACAATGCTAGTTGGTGTACATCAGCTTCCATTTACAGGTCTACATTCCTGTGGTTGCCCGCCATAATATCTTGCGGCGCGGGACTTATTTTCAGTGCTGCACACGGGAGTGGGCAGGAAACCAGCCCACTGCAGGCGGGAGTGGGCTGAAGCACACATGTAGAGAAATCCTGCAAATTAATGAATAGCCTGAGTAAAGTAAAATGATCACAAATATATAAATATATAAACAACATAAAATCATAACAATAAAAAGTTAAAATAGATAAAGTCATTCTAAAGCCCATGTGTCAAACACAAGGCCCGTGGGCCGGATTAGGCCCACCACACAATCCTTTTAGGCCCGCAAAAGTATTTTAACTTTCTATTAATATTAGCATGTTTCACAATGTGCTGCACTGCAGTACCCAGCATGCACTGCAGCATAATGTGCTCTGACTCTTCTATCCCAACAAATGTCTCTGGGACAGCAGTTACACCTCAATTCTACACAATTCTACACAATATCTCACCTGTCATATCACCAAACACATTACCTGCACTTCGGCTGCAGTTTAACCAATAGAAACACCCAACATCAGCTCAGCAGCTCAGAAACTGAGCCCAGGTATTAATGAACCTGCAGCAAAGAAAGGATGCCAGGTTCAAACAAATAGGTGGGTTTAAAAGTCTCAGCAACTGGGGACATTTACATTTTGAATATTTTAAGCATTCATGTAATATTTCAAGGTCTACTGCAAGTGTCTGTATTTTACTGTTGGGGTTTTTTGCATATTTTGAATAAATAATGTCCAGTTTGACACCCCTGTTCTAAAGATTTGTGAAGCAACTGATCACGTGAACAACACACAAATTCTCAAAGCTTACAGAGACGGCAGAGCCTTCAGTCCGACGGCCACAGCTGCCCAACAAAACGTCAAAAATAACCACTCTGTGGTTTAATTCCTGCTTTGTGTTTACTGGGAATAAATGGCATTTGGTGAAGTTCCTCACAGTGAGCCTGATGACCATGACTGCCATGTTATTTCAGCAGAGAATAATGTATTTGTGAATAGACTGTGTCAGATATTGGATGTCAGTTCGCCTTGTTGGAAGTGGAGGCGGGAGCGGGACTAAACGTTTCAGTTGCGAGGGGAAGCGGGACAAATGATTCCAATTTTATGCGGGAGCAGAAACGGGTGGGCGAGGGTCCTCTACTTACATTACTTGTTAGCTACATTAGCCTTGTAGCTCCAGTGCAAATTAGATTTTTAGCCTAACTAAGACAATTAGGTTTTTGGCCCAACTATCCCTTTTAGCTTCATACTGCTTATATTGGTAACATAGTTAATCTATCTCTCTCTCTCTCTTTCTCTCTCTCTCTCTCTCTCTCTCAGGCTCTGGATGGTAATGTGTATGATCACGTGAAGGATTACTTGATGTCGTTCTGCCGGACGGAGTTGGAAGCGGTCCAGGCCGTCCACAACACGTTCCAGTTTCTCCTGGAGAAGTCCAGTCGAGTGAGTCTCACACACACCTCCTCTTTCAGCTTCATCCGTCTCTTAGTCAACATTCTCTCTCTCTCTCTCTCTCTCACTCTCACTCTCACTCTCTCTTCCTCTGCATTCCCAGAAATAGCTGTGCTCTGCCAGCTCCTCATTAGCTGCTCCCCTATGAAGAAAGTCCCTTTGCTGCACACATACAGACGTCTGCACACACACACAGTGAATAAATACACAGAATTACACCGGCCCTCTTCCTTCTGCTGTATTCAATCAGGAAACACGGGAGAGAGCGGGACTCCACCCCTCAGAGAGAGCCGCAGTCACCTTGGGAGGTGTTTACACATACGCCGTGCGGCTCAGTAGCTCACCTGCTGCCCGTCCTGTTTAGTCCCTTTCACAGTGTCAACACATGTAGCTCGCAGTTTTCAAGCTAGAGCCATAAAACTATTCAGGATCATAGAGCCTCTACAGAAATAGTGGGCTTGTGTGTTCGGGACTGAATGTACATAATGCATTCTGTAACTGCAAAACCTTAGCAACCACCTGAGATACCATAGCAATGGCCTAGCAACACCTTAGCAACCACTTGAGATACCATAGCAATGGCCTAGCAATACCTTAGCAACCACCTGAGATACCATAGCAATGGCCTAGCAATACCTTAGCAACCACCTGAGATACCATAGCCATGGCCTAGCAACACCTTAGCGACCACCTGGGATACCATAGCAATGGCCTAGTAACACATTAGCAACCACCTGAGATACCATAGCAATGGCCTAGCAACACCTTAGCGACCACCTGAGATACCATAGTCATGGCCTAGCAACACCTTAGCGACCACCTGGGATACCATAGCTAACAATGGCCTAGCAACACCTTAGCAACCACCTGAGATACCACAGCAATGGCCTAGCAACACCTTAGCGACCACCTGAGATACCACAGCAATGGACTAGCAACACTTTGGCTACCACCCTGGTGGCACATTAAATGAACAAATATTACTCACCGCTGCCCTCTAAAGGTGTTATAAGATACTCAGATTTGTGCTCAGGCGAGCACAGAGAACATAGAGACCAAAAGACCAAACATGGACATTAACAGGTAAATTTTTGACCATTTTTAATTCTGTCTCCCTCTTTAAGGTGGTGCAGGACTTCAACCAGCAGCTGTTCCTACAGGAGAATCCTGTTTTCCACAAAGCACAAGACTTCCAGTTTCAGCCTTGTGACAGTGACACGGTGAGTCTTATACGCAAACATACACACAAACATGTATCATTTATGTACAGTATTTTCATGTTGCATATGAAAGTCACACGACTGTAACAGAATGTTTCTTAATAAATGACAACAAAACTTGACTGACAAATTTATCATCAGCCAGTCTGCAGTAAATAATCTTAATAATTTTGGAGAGTTTATGTGAAGGTGAGACTTCCTTCCATTCTATAATTTGATGTTGCAGTTATATGCTATACACAATTACAGTCGCAGGCTAAAAGGAATTCATTCACTAAACTGACGTTGCAGTACAGTGTCAGTGTCAGTGTCGAAGAACTAGCACAAGTTTTAAAGAACTAGTGTTGAACAGCTACCAGCAGCGTTGAAGAAATAGTGTCAGTGTTGGAGCAGCACCAGTGTTGAAGAACTAGCGCCAGTGTTGAAGAACTAGTGTTGAAGTACTAGTGTTGAAGAACTAGCGCCAGTGTTGAAGAACTAGTGTTGAAGTACTAGTGTTAAAGAACTAGCGCCAGTGTTGAAGAACTAGCGCCAGTGTTGAAGAACTAGCGCCAGTGTTGAAGAACTACGGCCAGTTTTGAAGAACTAGCGCCAGTGTTGAAGAACTAGTGTTGAAGTACTAGTGTTGAAGAACTAGCGCCAGTGTTGAAGAACTAGCGCCAGTGTTGAAGAACTAGTGTTGAAGTACTAGTGTTAAAGAACTAGCGCCAGTGTTGAAGAACTAGCGCCAGTGTTGAAGAACTAGCGCCAGTGTTGAAGAACTACGGCCAGTTTTGAAGAACTAGCGCCAGTGTTGAAGAACTAGCGCCAGTGTTGAAGAACTAGTGTTGAAGTACTAGTGTTGAAGAACTAGCGCCAGTGTTGAAGAACTAGCGCCAGTGTTGAAGAACTAGGGCCAGTGTTGAAGAACTAGCGCCAGTGTTGAAGAACTATCACCAGTGTTGAAGAACTAGGGCCAGTGTTGAAGAACTAGCATCAGTGTTGAAGAACTAGGGCCAGTGTTGAAGAACTATCACCAGTGTTGAAGAACTATCACCAGTGTTGAAGAACGAGGACCAGTGTTGAAGAACTAGGACCAGTGTTGAAGAACTAGGGCCAGTGTTGAAGAACTAGCATCAGTGTTTAAGAACTAGGACCAGTGTTGAAGAACTAGGGCCAGTGTTGAAGAACTATCACCAGTGTTGAAGAACTATCACCAGTGTTGAAGAACTAGGACCAGTGTTGAAGAACTAGGGCCAGTGTTGAAGAACTAGCATCAGTGTTTAAGAACTAGGACCAGTGTTGAAGAACTAGGGCCAGTGTTGAAGAACTATCATCAGTATTTAAGAACTAGGACCAGTGTTGAAGAACTAGGACCAGTGTTGAAGAACTAGGACCAGTGTTGAAGAACTAGTGTTGAAGAACTAGGACCAGTATTGAAGAACTAGTGTTGAAGAACTAGGACCAGTGTTGAAGAACTAGTGTTGAAGAACTAGGGCCAGTATTGAAGAACTAGTGTTGAAGAACTAGGACCAGTGTTGAAGAACTAGTGTTGAAGAACTAGGACCAGTGTTGAAGAACTAGTGTTGAAGAACTAGGGCCAGTGTTGAAGAACTAGTGTTGAAGAACTAGGGCCAGTATTGAAGAACTAGTGTTGAAGAACTAGGGCCAGTATTGAAGAACTAGTGTTGAAGAACTAGGGCCAGTATTGAAGAACCTACAACAATTTGTTGAATTGGCAACAAGCCAAAGAAAGACCAGCAGTGTCGAAGAACCAGCAACAATATTAAAGAACTAGCATTAATATCAAAGAACTAGCAACCAATTTGAAGAACTAGTACCAGAGATGGAGAATCAGCCGCAGTCTCAAAGAAGTAGCGGTAATGTGGAAGAGTTGGTGCCGTTTAAGGCTGAATAATGATGGGCTTTTCTTCTGTGGGAATTTTCACCTGAACACTGTTCTTTATACTCCTTTTCCCCTTTTTAGTGTTTCCTCAGCTGAAAGACTGTTGTGTTATGAATTAAAGTGCCCTTTCAGTTCCACACGGTATAAAAACACAGAGCAGCTTCCATTGTGGCCAGAAAGTGAATCATCTCTGCCTTTGTCTTCTTCAGGAACCTCTGCGTTTTTGAGGATTGAGATTTTATTTAGATGCTACATCTTTATCACTCATCACCTTCGCGCGCTCACACGTTTCAGCATCGTGCTACACCTCAGGAAGAGGAAAAACGCCTCTCTCTATATTTATCCTCTCCAGCAGACGCCTGCAGACGCCCGTGAGACGGAACACACACTCGCTCGCTCACTCGCTCGCTCACTCGCTCCCGTGATTTACACAGCAGCGCTGATTAAAACGTCTCTCTGAGTTTAGAACAGGGCTGTTCAGTCTTTTTGTCTTTATTTTGGCTAGAAAGCTCGCTCTCTCTCTCTCTCTCTCTCTCTCTCTCTCTCTCTCTCTCTCTCTCTCTCTCTCCCTCCCTCTCTCTCTTCTTTCTCTCTTATCTCTCTCTTCTCTCTCTCTCTCTCTCTCTCTCTCTCTCTCTCTCTCTCTCTCTCTTTCTCTCTCTCCCTCCCTCTCTCTCTTCTTTCTCTCTTATCTCTCTCTTCTCTCTCTCTCTCTCTCTGTCTTTCCCTTTCTCCTACCCCTCCCTTCTCTCTCTCTTTCACACTGTTTCTCTCTCACAGCCTCCCTCTGTCTCTCTCTCACAGCCTCCCTCTGTCTCTCTCTCTTTCTCTCTCTCTCTCACTCACTCTCTCTGTCTCTCTCTCTTTCTGTCTCCCTCTGTCTCTCTCACTCTCTCTCTCTCTCACTCACTTTCTTTCTCTCCCTCTCTTTCTCTCTGACTGTCTCTCTATCTCAGTCTCCCTGTCTCTCTCTCTTCCTTTCTCCTACTCCTCTCTCTCTCTCTCTCTCTCTCTCTCCTCTCTCTTTGCCACTCTCCCTTTTCACTTTCTCTTTCTGTCACTTCTCTCGCTCACTTTTTCTTTCTCTCACTTTCGTCCACTCCCGGTCTTTCTGAATTTTTCTTTCTCTTTCTCTCTGTTCATCTAAAAGTTTCTCTTTCTCTCTGTCTATTTCTGTCTCTCTGTCTCTTTCCTTCTCTCTCATTCTTTCTCTTTCATTCTGTCCATTTCATGCTTTTCTCAAGTTGTCTTTCTCTGCATCTCTCTCTCTCCCTCCCTCTCTCTCTCTGTGTTTTTCTCTGCATATCTCTCTCTCTGCCTCTCTATCTCTCTCTCTTTCTCTGCGTCTCTCTCACTCTTTCTTTTTGTTCTTTCTTTCTTGTTATTCCTGCCTCGTTTGACGTGCTGTCAGCTTATTAACCCAAACCTCCAGATCTCCTCTGATCTTCATCTTTCTTTTCCAGTTTTTATTCTCTTGTTTACACTCTTGTTCTCCTTCTTGAATCTTTTCATGGTTGCTGGATTTTGTCTCGCTAACTTTGCTGTCTGAAAACTAAGGCTGTCCCTGATTAAGGATGTGTTATTAATGTGTTTATTACACTTTTTAAGCATGACTGCATAATTGAGTGTTTGAGTTGTAAACAGAGTCATTCGGAGTGGTTTGGTGTGAAATGGTTCAGATGTCTTTACAGTGATGGTGATAGGAACCAGGAGTCACCATGACTACAACACAAATATAGACATTTAATTTACTATCCAAAACCACCAGTGAACCTACATGAGTCTTCTGAGTTTATATGGATGTTGATGGTGATAAAATAATGATAAATCTGAAAAAGTGCCATGTATGCACCTCAGTTCATTTTAGGCCAAAACCTCTCAAAACTATCATAAAACAAGACATCAGGCAGTGAATTCATAACCATTGTATGTAATAACTCTCTGGGAGGGAGCTTTTAGAGGTGGACGTCTGGTTCCTATCACCATCACTGACCCGTCAATGCTCCACCCACAACAATTCTTTCATAGTAACTGTTGCTAGGATGGACAAGCTTTACAGAATGCTGGTAAAAATCCAGTTCAGGCTAATGTATCTAAGAGTTTAGAGTCACTAGATAATGTTGAGTTTCCAGATTGAAATGCTGCATTACAGAGATAGACTAAGTTATTATTCTCGCATTACGCGTGACGTCCCACTGTATAGTCGCTGCCATTTGGAGGACCGAATCAGGGTGACTGCGCTGCGCGATGCCTTTAATTAGCTGTGCTTTGTGAATGATTCACCTGCAAGACACGACAGAAGCCGAGAGACACACAGACCTTTAAATCAGGGTTTTCACTCCAGGCTTGGAGCCGCTGCACTGTATAGTTTAGTGTCTCTCTCTGCTGTTCACACCTCGTTCAGCTCAAGAAGGGATTAATTAGCTAATAATATCAGGTATTTTAACCAGGAAACCACAGTTATGCAGTGCAGGGGTTTCAGGACTGGAGCTGAACGCTGAACTAACTGCACTAGCAAACTTACAGAATCACGTCTGTCGAAACACGACGTCGTTTTCCGACCCACGACATTCAGTCTGATATTTAACGCTTATGTTTCTCCATTCAAACCTCATTTAAATCTCCAGAAACAGAGAGTAAAGTAAAGTTATCTAAAGGCCAGCATTGTTCACGTCTGTGTTAATTAGCTGATGTCGTTACCCTCCTATGATGACGGAGTATTTTCTCCTCTTTATGCAGCACCATTGGATCCTTTACCCACCCTGACGTGAAGAGCTGGTGGGCTTCTGTGCTTTTAAGTGCTTTGAGAGTCTCCAGAATAGAGAGAGGGGCTGAGTATGAGATAAATATAAATGTCAGGAAAACAAATTTGGTAGTTTTCCGCCAGTTTAAGTGGAACCAGGAGTTCAGGGGGAAACAGTACAAGGATCACAGCCTGTTTTATCGACATTGTCAAGGTCACGTTTTTTCTCTTCCAGTGTAAGATGAGTAATTTTAGCCCTCTTTCACCTCTAGTTACGTTTGTGCGGAGCAGCGAATCCAGAAATTCGGTCCCAAATATGGCGGCCACAACAGAAAAATCACGGTACTGAAACCCTGGGATATCTAATCGAAA